AGGGAGGGAGGGAGGGACCCCGTGGCTGGTGACTCAGCACCTTCTCCTTCCTCCTCTCCGACCGCAGGAGGAGGATCTGCGCCTCATGTGATGGGGGGAGCCCCCAAGGCAGAGGGTTGACTGACTGGCACCTGCGTTGGGCACTGCCGGGATGGACTCTCTGCCCTGGGAAAGGTAGCCTCTCAGGGACCAGGGGAAGCCACCAGACTCCCTCTGTACACACCCCAGTACTGTTTTGCAGCATGGGGAGGGAGGGATTGTCTCGCGTCGGCTGCGGACGCCAGGACAACGCCAGCCTTGGAGAGCGGGCCGGGAACAGGGCCCACCTCAACCCCACAATCCGAGTCTCATGAAAGAAGAGCCTTCCCTCGCAGGGGTCGCCCCTTGTCACGGGGGCAAACGACAGAGGGCCCAGGCCGCCTCGCAGGCCCAGAAAGGCCTTCCGCCTTTCACAATTATCATTATGTCCTGCTCATTCTCCACCCAACGGGGACTCAAAGCAGCTGGTCCTGTTCTTCTGCCCTCCTCCGTTTTCTCCTCACAACAACCCCCCTGTGAGGTAGGTTAGGCTGAATGAGACGGTGTCCTTGGCCCAAGATCACGCACTGAGCTTCCATGGTGGTGGTGGGGATTCGAACCTGGGTCTCCTGGACCCCACGTGTATGTGTGTGTGTGTGTGTGTGTGTGTGTTCGTTGAGAGCCGAGAACCAGAGGGCCCCCCCCACCGTTTCAAGCCTGCAGGCACATCTGGAGCGCTGACACAGCTTGGTGGGCACGGCCACAGAACCACGGCCACGGCTTCCCTTCAGTCTCACAGTCAGTGCAGATCCATCTGCCGTGCTGCCAGCTGCTGCAAAGCCGCATTTAAAATAATCTGCGCTGCCCATCCGATCCCCAGTGGCCAGTCAGGAGCCCTGTCCGGCCAAAGCCCTGCCCACCTTCTGAAAGCACTTGGCGGGCACCGGAAAAAGCGTCTGCAGGCACACTGGGGACGCCTGCTGGGATGGAGGACACCCAAAACGTCCTGTCATAAGAACGTAAGAGAAGCCCATGTTGGATCAGGCCAGTGGCCCATCCAGTCCAATGCTCTGTGTCCCACAGTGGCCAAAAATACCAGGTGCCATCAGGAGATCCAGCAGTGGGGCCAGGTCATTAGAAGCCCTCCCACTGTTGCCCCCCCCCAAGCACCAAGAAAACAGAGCATCACCTGCCCCAGCCTGTGAGTTCCTATCTATACCTTGTGGCTAAGAACCACGGATGGACCTCTGCTCCATGTTTATCCAGTTCCCTCTTGAAGCTGTCCGTGCTTGTAGCCGCCGCCACCTCCTGTGGCAGTGAATCCCATGTGTTAATCACTCTTTGCGTGAAGGACTTCCTTTTATCCGTTCTAACCCGACCTCTCAGCAATTTCATGGAGTGCCCACAAGGAGTTCTTGTATTGTGAGAAAGGGAGAAAAGGACCTCTTTCTTGACCTGCTCTACCCCATGCATAATCTTGTAAACCCCTCAGCCATCGTTTCTCCAAGCTAAAGAGCCCCAAGCGCTTTAACCTTTCTTCATAGGGAAAGTGTTCCAACCCTTTTATCATTCGAGTTGCCCTTTTCTGCACTTTTTCCAAAGCTATAATATCCTTTTTAAGGTGTGGTGCCCAGAACTGCACACAGTACTCCAAATGAGGACGTACCATCGATTTATACAGGGGTGTTATGATACTGGCTGATTTGTTTTCAATTCCCTTCCTAATAATCCCCAGGATAGCGTTGGCCTTTTTTATTGCAGTCACACACTGTCTCGACATTTTCATTGAGTTATCTCACCCAATCCTCAACTGAGCCGCACCACGGCCTCTCCAGCTACCGTGTCTGTCTCTCCAGCACAGGAAACCCTTTCCCCACAATCCTTTGCCTGGAGCTGTTGGGGCCGGCCTCTGGGGTGCCCCCTACTTGCAAAGTATCAACAGCAGCCCCCCTTCCTGCAGGTGTCCCTGCCAGGCCTTGCACAGCTCTGTCCTAGTGGCACCCAGACCAGGGTATGGGCTGCAGCCTTTCCGGAACTTACATTTCATGAAACCTATTTGTTCTCTGCCTGGAAGATTTTGCTCCACTATCCATTCGGGTAGTTTTTAGAGATGTTTAGCATACAGCTTCCCTAGAATGGATAGCAGGTGTACAGGTCTTTAGTTGTCAATATCATTGGGATCACCGTTTATTTATTTATTTAAAGCAACTATTAATAGAATTCAACCAAGAGTCAGGTAGAATGCCATACTCATCAATGTGAAGAAGTGGGCAGGAGAATGTGACCACCAAATCAACAGTATCCTTAAAAACCTCAGCCGGAATGCCATCCCGGTCCGGGGCCTTATTAGATTTAAGGGAGTCAATAAGCGCAGTTATTTCCCCGATGTGAGACAGGAGGGCCGATGAGGTACATCTGAAGGTATTAAAATGGCATGGGTTGAGTCACAGGAGGCTGAATCATTGAAGAGAGCAGCATAGGAGGCACTCCGTTTCCACGCTGGGAGGTTACAGCTGGATAGGGCTCCAGTTGCAGAGTTAAGGCCAGCTACCAAAAGCTCTTATTCCCATTGCTTCTGGTGGCACTATAGAGCTGAGACCATTTCTTCATATAAAAGGAACGCTGCTTTTGGGCTGACGAAAAGTGACAGTCCCTCTTTAACTTATAGTACAAAGAGGGATTTCCATGAAAGGGTACCTTTCCCGAACTTACATTTCAACCCCCCCCGCCGCAGAGCCAGTTCTGTGTATTATCCACCTGGCCGTAGGACTCCAGCAGGGGAAGGCCGAACTCAGCCCCTGACCCCCCCCCCAACCCATCACCTCCTGAGCCGCTCACACCTCCCACCTCTCTTCAAGCCAGCAGAGAGTCCGCTTCCCTTTGGGAGATGAAGATCCCCCCCACACACACACACCCTCCTCTGGTGTGGGCTCTGCTCTTTGAACAAAGCAAGAGCAGAAACTTACAAAGGAGCCCAGTTCTTCAGTCCGCGGCACAAGCAGGGCAAAGGCGCAGCTCACCCACAGCCAGGCCCGGCCTGGCCCCCTGCAGTGGTTACCCCCCCCCCCGCTTTTAACAAAAGCCACCCAAAGCAAATGAGTTTCTCAAGATCACCTTTATTTTGGTCACTGTAACTTTCCTTTTGAATAAATAATAGCTATACAAAAAAAGTAAGGTTGCACGCACTAATTTTTTTGCCATATGAAAAAAGTTTTCAATTGTTTTTTTAAAAAAAGCATGGTGGGAAAAGTCTAGTTTTCATATGGATAAGGAAGGATTTCTTGGCAATTTGTTTGAACCACTGATTTTTTAGGCAGGGAGAGAAGAAAACCATGACTCTTAGTGAGGTAGGTTTTGGATTCTCAAGCTTTTTTCCCCCTCGTTAGCACCACGATTCCGGCGAAGATCGATTCCAAAGACTACAAAATCTCTCTTTGTCACTGGGGGCGGGGCAGGGCGACCCAGCCAAGTGAGGAGGGGGAGGATCGAAGCCAGGAAAGCCCCCTCCTCCATTCCCCCCTTGGCCTCAGAGGGCCGCTGGGCTCCCGGGCGTGGGGGCAGCTGGGCAACTGAACTACAAGATGAAGTCACAAGGAAGAGGGGGGGCAGAGAAAGACAGAAAAAGCGCCAGGAAAAAACACTAAAAAGGTTTCATTTTTGCCTCCAAAAAAGTGACATTTATTCAAAAGGCAAGAAAACTCAAAAGTAGAAAGGGGGGGGGGAGTTGGGAGCCCAAGGGGTGGGGGGGGGGGGGGGCCCGGCCGCCCCCCCCCCGAGAGGCAGCTCAGATGAGGTCAGCCACGTTCAGGGGCATCTCCTCGATGGAGGTGTTGTAGAACGTCTCAATGTCGCGAAGGGTGCGCTTGTCTTCTTCCGTCACCATGTTGATCGCCACACCTTTCCTCCCGAAACGGCCCCCTCGGCCAATCCTGGGGAGAGAGGGGAGGAAGTGAAGCAGCAAAGGAAGAGGGGCTGGGGGCGGGGGGGGCTCTGGAGATCCAGCCCACTGTCTTCCTGGCTCACCTGTGGATGTAGTTCTCACGATTGGTGGGCAGGTCATAGTTGATAACAAGGGACACCTGCTGCACGTCAATCCCACGAGCCTGGAGGAAAAGTTAGCAACCGTCACCCCCACCCTGTTGCTGGGAGGAGTGTGTGGCACAAGCCTTTCTGCCCAGCAGGTATGTGTGGGGGCGGCTGCTGCGAATGGCGGGGCATCGGGTGGGCTCCAGCCTTGGGAAGGAGCAGCCTCCCCCGTTTATGTGCCAAGGAGCTACAATCTGCCAACAGGACCGCGCTGGCTTGGCAGAGAGGGAAACTCCTTGGAGGACAGTGACTGCAGCCCCACCGCCACCTCCCCGGACGTGAGCGGAGAGCCAGACCTCCCGTGATCGCCATGAGCAGCCAAGTCTTGCCCCAGGCAATCCCACCCACCCAGTCTCAGCCCCAAACTCACCAGCAAGTCCGTAGTGATCAGAACACGGCTGGAGCCGGAGCGGAACTCCCGCATGATCACATCTCTTTCCTTTTGGTCCATGTCTCCATGCTGCCGGAGCGAGAAACGAGAATGGTCATTGGCCTCCAGTGGCCTGCACACCCTCGTCACAGTGACGGCGTGAGCATACAATTCTAACGTGGCCCCCAAGCTGCTCTTCTTCCGAACTTTGTCTCCCCCAGTCACTCTCTCTTATCCCAACATACAAAGTTGTTCCCAAGGATGCCCAGGCATCGCCAGCAAGAGAAGACGAAAGGCAACCAGTCTGCTTTCCCCCTTCCCCAGCTGAGTCTCTGGAGGTTCCCTCGGGCAAACCAGATTACCTACATACCTATCAAGTCAGCCTGCGTGGAATTGGCTCTACCACCCTCTGTGGTCACCCCGAACAGGACTTCACGAGAACCTCCAGAGCCGCCGTGGCCCACGACGTGGCTGCCGGGCCCCTGGCTTTGCCACTCACCATGGCTGAGACGGTGAAGTCCCTGGCATGCATCTTCTCTGTGAGCCAGTCCACCTTCCTCCGGGTGTTGATAAAGATGACCGCTTGGGTGATGGTGAGGGTCTCGTACAGGTCGCACAATGTGTCCAGCTTCCACTCCTGGTCCCAGAGGGGAGGGCGAGAGTCAGAGGAGCAAATCGGCCTCGCAGGCAGCCAGCCCTCCCCTGGGCGCATGGCCCAGGTGAGCTCCCTAGCTCAGGGATTCCCATCACCCCCCAAACTGCTGGCCAGGAGATCTCAAAACCCTCTGGAATGTGTACTTTTTCTAAATAGGCCTAGAATGACAGCTGGGAGGAGCCGGAGTTCTGCCACCACATCTGTGTCTGATGCCCCAACAAACAAACAAGCAGGCAGCTAAAAGCTTGCAGCTCTGGGTCACTGGAAGCAAGCTGCCCCCCTCCTCTGGAGACCTCTTCGACAGGCAACTTCTACTTACGAGGCCAACCCGAATGGAGCTCTCCTCGCTCCTCCTTTTGGCACTGCCCACAGGCAATTCTCGGGGGCACTCACCTCTCTTTCCACGTTTATGTAGAACTGCCTGATACCCTCCAAGGTCAGCTCTTCCTTCTTCACCAGGATTCGGATCGGGTCCCTCATGAACTTCTTGGTGACTTCCAGGACATCCATGGGCATGGTGGCAGACAGCAGGACCACCGGGGGGGGGGGGGGGGGGGGAAAGGGAAACACAGTCCAAACAGAAGTCCTCCAGCACTGCCCCACAGCCCACACCTCTCACGGAAAAGTCACACAGGTGGTATCCCCCCCCCGCAGGCCGCAGGTCTAACACCTCCCCCCCCAGCCAAATACCCCTCCCCTATGGGGGGGGGGGGGGAGGCAGAGAAGAGATCTTCCCATCACTCTGGCTCAACCAGTGTTCCCTCTAAGCTGAGTTAGTGTGAGCCAGCTCGGTTTTCTAGCCTCCGGCTCACACATTTTTGCCTTAGCTCAGGAAGGATGGGTCTCCAGAGGAAACTAACTTATGCAGCAGCCAAATGGCTCGCTCACGACTTTAATGCCCGTAGTAGCTCACAAAGTAGAATTTTTTGTTCACAAGAGGGAGCATCGGCCTCAACTGACCCGCCCCAGCTGGCCGCCCATGCACTGGAGGGCCCCCCCCCGTCCGTACCTGCGTGTTTCCACTCAGCTTCTGGAATATGTCGTAGATCTGGTCCTTGAAACCCCGGCTCAACATCTCGTCCGCCTCATCCAGCACAAACATCTTGATGAACTTGGGAGCTGCGGAGAGAAAGGGAATGGAGTGGATCCTTTAAAGCAAGCAGGCAGGCGCTGACTGTCGCCAGAGGGTGAGTCCCCACTGCTGTCCTCAGGGACGTTCTCTGCTCTGATCACTGTGCCCGATACCCCGCAACCTTTCCCCAGCACGGCAAAACACCTGCTGGGAGGGAAACGGGGTCTGTGGGTTCAGATGACACGCATGGGTAGATCATCATGGGACAGCAGAAGAGAAGCTCGGCTTCTCTAACACTCAGAGACTCCGCGCCGAGTTACGAAAACCTCGGCAGGGTCAAGCACAAACTGCAGAGCATTTCCACAGCTCACTAGCCAAAGCCTTTGCAATCTCTGAGATGCACAATCTCACCGAGCCGGATTCCCTGCAGCCGAAAAGGCTAGAAATGCAACAATCATATCAAAGGCAGATGCGCTATGCGTGACCCCCTCCCCCAGGACACGGCTCTGAAAACAACAGCCGGGCGAAGGACGAGATACTCACACAGATACCTCCTGTTCAGCATGTCAAAAACCCTGCCGGGGGTCCCAACGATGATATGGGGGGCTTCCATCTGCAGCTTCTGCACCTCGGCCCGGACGTTTGTCCCGCCTATACAGGCGTGGCAGGAGGCCCCCATGTAGTCCCCCAAGGCCATCACCACCTTCTGGATCTAGGGCAGGCAGGCAGAAGGGGGCCTGTCAGGCAACCCGGCAGGCAGAGCAAACACACACACACCGTCCAAAGGAGCCCTGAGACGAGAGAGCGCCGCTTCCCCCACCCAACCAGAAGTAGAGCAGGTTCAGAAAGAAGTCCTTTTCTCCCTCTCTCACAAGACAAGAACTCGTGGGCAATCCGTGGAATTGCTGAGCAGTCGGGTTAGAAGGGATAAAAAGAAGTCCTTCACCCAGAGGGGATTGGATAAACATCTGGATCAGAGGGCCATTAGGGGCTATGAGCCACAAGGGATAGATAGGATCTCTCAGTCTGGGGCAGGTGTTCTTGGTGCCTGGGGGGGGGGGGCAACAGTGGGAGGGCTCCTAGTGTCAGCTGGCCCCACTGCTGGACCTCCTGATGGCCCCTGGTGTTTTTGGCCACTGTGTGACACAGTGTGTTGGACTGGATGGGCCACTGGCCTGATCCAGCATTGGCTTCTCTTATGTTCTTAGGTCTGCCTAGAGAGATCTTGTCCCCCCAGCATGAACCAGCAACGACCACAGGGACTGCGCTGGGATGAATGGGGAGAGCTGCTTTGCCCCTGCTAGATTTCAGAGGGACACCACGGCAGAGGTGCCTCTTTGCCCAGTTAGCCGGGGGATGGGGGTGGGGGGGACCTTGCTTTTTAAAGGTTTCGGTGAAAGAAAGGAACATAATGGAATTCACAGGCATCTCCTGAAGAACAACAGCATCCACAGGGCCTGGTTTCCTAGACCCCAACAGGAATCTCTTTCACACTGAGCACAGCTCCGTGCTCAAGCTGCCCAGAGAAAGGGGAGCGGGGATCAAGGCCCAAGCCCACCACGCAAACCACATCTGATGGAACCTCTAGAGGCCGGATCTGGGCACTCGGCCGTGAGGATGCCCGGAGCCTCCCAGGCTCACCAGCCACTTGCTAGCACTAAGGGTCAGAAAGCACGCAAGACCAGTGTTCCCTCTAAGCTGAGTCTGTGTGAGCCAGCTCACAGTTTATTTTAGCCTCCGGCTCACACGTTTTTGTCTTCGCTCAGGAAAGAGGACTCCAGAGCAAACTAATTTAGGCAGCAGCCGAATCACTCGCTCACCACTTTAACGCCAGTACCTCACAAAGTGGAATTTTTGCTCACAAGACTCCACAGCTTAGAGGGTGCATTGGTCCTATCTGAAGAAACTCCCGTGAGACAAGCTTCATCTAGAGCTACGTTAATCCTGGACCAGCTCATCGGTCCACCGAAGTCGGTACTGACTCCTGACCGCCAGGGGTGGCCCAGGTTCTCGCGCAGAGAAAGGTCTTTCGGACGTCACCTACGGCCCGATTCGTAACCAGAAATGCTGGGGGGACTGAGCTTGGGGCCACAGCCTCTGCCCCCTCCGCCGCTCACCTGCTGAGCCAGCTCTCTCGTGGGGGCCAGAACCAGTGCCTGGGTGGCCTTCAGGTCCAGTTCAATCTGCTGAAGGATGGAAATAGCAAAAGTGGCCGTTTTCCCAGTTCCAGACTGAGCTTGGGCGATCACGTCATAACCTGGGCAAGGGGGGAGAAGAGCAGATCGTACATCAGGACAGTGCTGGAGATCGTCCGACCCATAGAGGCACACCGCCACGACCCCCAGCACAAATGGGTTGCAGCTGACCTATCCCCACTAGACAGACCCAAGAGGCAACCCCCCACCTCAAAAGGGGCTGCTCGGCCCAGCAAGCAGAGACTTGAAGAGACGGGAGCAGTGCTTCCTCTAAGCTGAGTTAGTGTGAGCCAACTCACAGTATCTTAGCCTCCAGCTCACACATTTTTGTCTTAGCTCAAGAAAGGATGGTGCTCCAGAGTACACTAATTTACGCAGGAGCCAAGTCGCTCGCTCAAAACTTTCAGGCCAGCAGCTCACAGGGTAGAATTTTGGCTCACAAGAGGGAGCATTGGATAGGAGTGCTGAGGCCGCCGCATCCAGGGAAGACCCCGTAAAGGGGAAAAAGTCAATGGCTGCAAGAGAGCCACAGCCAGCCCTGGGCAAGTTGGACTAAGGCCCCAACGTCCCATTTCTCCTCCTCTGTGTCTTCAAAGCTAAATGACCACTTGCTGTTCTCCCTTCAGCTCCTGGGGAGGTCCAAAGCCCCTTCCTTCTCCCCTCCCCACACGACACTTCCCGAGAGCATGCAAAGAAGAGACCGGGTGTGTGTGTGTGTGTTTCGTCTCACCCTTGATACAAGGGAGGATGGCTCGCTGCTGGATGGCGGAGGGCTTCTCAAAACCGTAGGCATAGATTCCTCGCAGGAGTGACTCTGACAAGTTCATGTCATCAAAGCTGTCCACAATCTCATTCCAATTGCTCTGTGGGGAAAGCAGGAAGAAAGGTTGACCCCCGGCCTCTGGCTGCACCCCTTGCAAATCCCCCCCCACCCCAGACTTTTGCCTTATTTTGGGAATACTAATCATTTTGGATTCTACCTACAGCATACTCTAAAGAGAACAGGCAGAGAAAAAAAAAAAAACAGGCAACAAGCTGCTTTATACTGGATCAAGATCAAGGTCACTATTGACTACTCAGACTGGCAGCAGCTCTCCAGGGTCTCAGGCAGGGGTCCTTCACATCACCCATCGCCTTATCCCTTTAACTGAAGATGCTGCTGGGGACTCTTGGCCCTGAGGTGAGGCTTTCTGAATCCAGGGCACAGGCTCTTAGACACCCTCCAGATATACCACTTCCCTTCATAGTCAGGGGACCCAAGGCCGAGCCCCCCCCTTGCCCCCTCACGGGACCCCTAATGCTGCACCACAGCTGCCAATGTACCCTCTAAATGACCCCACCATGCTCATACCTCAATGACACCATCGGGGTCCATGCCTTCAGGGCCATTGTCTCTAGATCTAGGAAGAAAAATACAAAGAAACTCAGAACAGGGATGAAATGGCATAAAAAAAAAAACCCTCCAGCCCATTTTTTGCAAGAACACCTCCCCTGCTTCCAATGCCGTGTAGAGGCTGGACTGCCAGCCTAAGATCTGGGACAACCAGGTTTGAGTCCTCCCCCCGCCATCGAGGCTCGCTGGGTGACCTTGGGTCAGTCACACAGGCTCTCAGTCTAGCCTACCTCACCAGTCACAGGCTCTCAGCCTAGCCTACCTCACCGGGTTGTTGTGAGGAAAATCAGAAGAGAGGAGAGCGACGTGAGCCATTTTGGGTCCCCGTTGGGGAAGAGGGTGGGATTTAAAGGAAGGGAAGTTTCTAACGCGGCTCGCTCCAGCCCTCCCCTCCCCCCAAGTGGAGGGGCGCAGCCCTCCCCCCCCCCCGCAGGCCG